TGTTCTTAAGGAAGCTCGCCAGAGGAAGAGAGAAAATAAGTTGTAATTCTTTAAAGCCATTTTGCGAGCGAATGAGTGGAAATAGGATTCTACATTGCAGAAAGATGCGGTGCAAGCTACGTTTTGGTGTCAAAGAGTGCACAAATGATTGTTTTATGATTTTGACCAATCAAATCATTGTCGGATGGAATTGTCGTATATCCAATTTTATCTATACATGTAAAGCCGACTGCACGACGCCCCTGCACCATTACTAATACATTCTTCGTACGTAGTACAATACTGTACAAATATCCGTATACTACCGTAGTAAGTATATGGTTTTGCCCAATGCGGAGGGGCAGGGTGGTTTGGATTGGCAGAAATTTACCAGAACGTGATTTGATTGGCTTAGGCGGTTCTTTAATCCATTCTCTCAAGACATTCGATATTCTGCTGAGGGAGTGCATACATTTGAGATCCAGGAATAGCCTTTGAAGGTGAGATCAGCAGGGCGAGTTCCAACGTGCGCAAGTGAAATGTCTCCTTGTGATTGGTTCCATTCCACGAACACAACCTCGACACAAGGACGACTCCAAGAACCAAGTTACCACCAAAAAACGACCCAATTTTCTGTTGCCTTTCGAGCACTCGGTGGAATATGCAAGAATCCGAACAGGTCCAAGATGTAGCATCGCATGTAACAGCACCGCTGATGTTTAGTGTTATGGAAGAGAGGGCAACAACCCCGTCAGCAACTACCGAGTAAAGGAAAATTCATTAGCAGTACATCGCCTCATGTCAAAATGCAGATCAGAATAGCCACGATGACCAACGAACCAACGTTCACGCTCGTATGTGGGCGAGGGGCATCGCTCTTCGTGGTCGTTGGAGGTGGTGTAGTCGTACGAGTGGTGACTGGAACGTCCGTCGTGGCGACAGGGGGTGAAGTTGTCGTAGTCGCGTTTGATGGTGCCGAAGTATCGACTGTGGAAGTTGGAGAGGTGTTTGCGGGAGTAGGCGTTGGCGAGGAAGCAGTACTCGTGGAAGTTGTGGGAGTATCCGATGGTGTGGACGAACCGCTTGTGCTTGTACGAGTTGGGGAAGTAGAAGAGGGAGGGAGGGTGATGACTTGGTCACAGGCAGGACCATCCGCGCCAGCATTACAAGTACACGTGCCACCCTATCAAGAATTAGCACCGTTTACAAACCAAGGTAAAGAAAAATTCATACCAAATTGCACACTCCAGCATTGGAACAGTTGCTCGGACATGCCAAGGTTGCGCAGGTCGCGCCAGACGACCCACAACGACACAAACACTGCGTGGCCTGCGCCGTGGTGTTGAAGACGCAAATGCTTGCATCATTCGAACAGGATGGGGAGCACACCAAGGTGTCGAGGCCGCTGATGTTGGCTCGCTTAATGGGAAAGTACGTGGTGTTGGGTGCCGCCGCGATGCAGAGCTGGTTTTCCGGAGATGGCAAAAACGTCAGAAGGTTCAGCGGCGTGAACATCCCACTGGCGTACGTGGCGACATCCACTGTATCAAACAAGGCATCCCACGAATGAACGTTGGGCGACAACGACAGACACAGCGTGGCGCTGGTCGACTGGCCGGACGTGACTGTGAACCCTTGCCCTGGCCCGAGCAATTGGCCGTACGTCACGCGTTGGGGGGACTGGACGACTAGTGGACTCAATTCCGACGAGTTGCACTGTGGGGACAACGAGAACATCGTAAACGTGGCTACCAAAGATGGAAGTGAGACGCGTGCAGTTATCATGACGGGGATATATGTACAGGATATACCGAGGGGAAAAGCAAACCAAGCCAAGGTCGTGGTGTCCGACGTGCCGTCCCCAGTTGCCAGTCGTCGTCGTTGCAACGGGGCCGAACAATTGGTTGAAACGGAGGCCGAGCCGAACCCAGTGTCCACGGCTGCGTCTAGTCCGCAATAGACGGTCGTCTCTGCCACTTTGGAGCCATTTGTAGGGGGCTGAAAGCACGACGTCGAAGCATCTGCACCGCATGCACAAGCCAACGTCGCGAGCACGTCCGTCATGGCGTTGTACCTAGCAATGTACTCCGTGAGATTCCGTTCAACAAAAAGGTGAAGTCAAGAACTGAAGACGGTACATGAGCAGTGCTTTTTGAGATTGCACGTTGGCCAGTCGCCGTGCGAGGGGGCGTACCAATGCTTTGGCCAATTTGGGTTGCGAAATCGACGTTTTCCATCTACAGTTCGATGCAACAGGTTACAAAATGTCTGCAATGTCATAAAAATACTAAATGAGAATCATCACGTACTGGTTGACAGGTGTGAGGTGAGTTCCATCGGCATTCCACGTATAGGATTCGACGGACGGACCAGACCACCTGCCCGGCGTCCACTTGAACAACGGCGCCATTACCCCCTTGCATTTGGTGCACTCTGTCGCATTTTTCTTGGAGACTCTGTCCACGCCCCGCTCTCGGCATTGCTTGTACGACGAGCACTCGGCTTCAGTGGTCGAACGGGTGTACCATGTTCCGCCTAGGACTCCACAGACCGCAGTGTCCCACACCCCCGACACTCGGCACCCCATCGGATGCGATCTATGATTCCCAAGGTGAGATATATCCATGCAACACCTTTTACAAGTAGATGCCAACTGTGTGGACGTACAGTTCGACTGGACACAGCCGATTGGCTTGCACGGCCTGCACGCAAACGCCATTGATGCGATGGCAAACCTGGCACTGCTTGACTTGGTTTCTTGTTAAGGAGATGCCTTTGCTGTTGGTCACGTTGAGTTGAATGGTGCCCACACAAGTATCACCAAAGGGCCAGTCCAAGTCCAAGCATTGCATGCGCATGTTATCGATGTCGTTGCACGATCCCTGGGCAGAGCACTTCGCGTGCGTCGGACAATTCTGGGTGGTCCATCCACATGTCAACAAGGACGCGACCACGTCAGTCACATTGCCGCAAGTTGACGGGGTTAAAAATTGCGAGCACGACACCCACTCTGTGGACGACAGCGCCGCACAGGCAACGGCAGTTGTTGCGTCTGACACCACACACTAGGGAAACAAGCGGATTATTTCTGCATCATGCCATCAAACAAGAAACGGACGACGACGACTTGGCCTTACAGGTGTTGTGGCAGTGGCGTTGATGCTGGTGCAATACGTGACGTCGGAGCTGACACACCCACCTTGATCTTGTTGGGAAAAGGGAAGCGACTGCGAAGTACAAGCGCTGCACGGAACAGAGCACGTTCCAAAGGTCAAATTCAAGCACTGCGACGAGCTCCACCCGTCGTTGCTGGGGCTGCCAATGCACTTGCCTTGGTCGCACTGGTCTTGGGTGGCAAAGGCTCCAGGGAAATAGGACTTCGTCGCATTCAAGAACACCCCGCCTTCGGTCGTGCACGACGCCAACGTCTTGATGGCGTTGCGACGTCCGACGCAAATGCCAGACCCGTTGCCGTGGGTACCATCCCACGTGTACTTTGTGTTCGCTAAACATGACGTTTTGGAAAGCGATGGCAAGTAGCACCCGAACAGACACCGAGTGGTACGGCGAGGGTACAGAGGCACGACGGTGTAGAAACTGGTAAAGTTGGTCACACTCGGGCACAAGTCGGGTCGAATAAAGCAGTCGGACGCTGTAATCGTTGTCTTGCCAGACATGCATTGTTTTAACGACGGGTTCCACGTTCCCCCGGCGGCAGGGCAGTCGGAAGGCTTTTGAACTTCAATCAAACACGTGGGTGGCTTGGTCACGCTGACGCAGTCCTTGCCGCTACACTTGGCGCAAAACGGAGTCGGGTCGTTGCAGTGGTTGTTGGCCACTTGTTTATTGTTGCACGAGGTCTTGGACAGACACGCGGTTTGGTTTGCTACGACAGTTTGCATCGCACAGCACGCGCCCCCGTCGACCGACGCTGCGGCACTTTGGCGTTTGCAAGCATTGCAGCTGGTGTGGAAACGCGCGCACGAGCTCATGCACGTGGCCACGTCCCAGCCATTGACGGATGTCTGGCAGGCCAACTGACTCACGCCTTTGTTTTGGATGGTGATGATGCGTCCAAAGCAGCAACTGCCGGTACTGTCGTCTACCATGAACCACGTTCCATTGTTGGCGGCACAACACAGCGGGTCGTGCACTTGATACGCTAGCACGGGGGCGTTGGGTTGCTGATAAGTGCAAACTGCAAGTGTCGTTAGCGTCGCTGCATGAAAGTTTGCGTCCTAGGGACAGGATATCAGGGTGTTTCCATAATAAATGATATCCTACCGGTGGACAGCATCGACCGGTCCCAGACACATCCGTGTACCAGTTGCCATTTACAATTGTACACCCTCCAGCCGTGAGCGGGAGTTGACATTGAGAGATGCAGTGGGCTTCCGCCTTGCAATCGGTTTGGATCGTGTCAAACGTGCATTGATACGACTGGCAGTTGCCGTTTGGTAAATAGGTTGCGCAGACCGATCGCCCGCCGTTGTTGGTGCATGTAGACGCCACGGAAAAGTCGAGACGGGGGTTGTGAAGGTTGCGACGGAGGTAGAACTGGTATTCCGTGTCGTCGCACATGTGAGAAATTTGACAAGTGGCATTGCACACGAGCATCGGCTTGGTCGTGCCAATGTCGTCAGACTTCGCCAACGGTCCTATACCGATGGAAGAATACATTAGTCAGAGTCAAGTGTAGCCAGAAATGGAATGCAAAGTGAAATGTACCGGCACACCCTACGTCTGTGGCCACACTCACAAACGCCATCGCGAAGTCTTGGTCCGAGTTCGCCGACGTCAAGTTCCAATCGTGTTTGAGGTACCGTAGCATAAGGGGGTCCATCGAGTCTCGAATGCATTCGATTGTGCATCCGACCAAGTTATCATAAGGCACAGTGCACGTGCCAGTCAGCGTAATGGGGTCAATTTGACACTGGCTTTGAGAGCACACCGCGCAGTCATCGTCCGTCTGGCAGGTCTGTGACGTGGCATTCATGATCGCAGCGTCGCACAAACGTTGGAGTGAGTCCACTATGGATTGGGCGTCCGTGGAATGTGCCATGTCCAGCGCATTCACAGCATCTTGGGCCGAGGTTAAACCCACGTACGCCCCGTTCAAGAAGGAAAACATCAAGTCGGCATTGAGGGGGCAGTTTGCATCCACGACCTCCTTGTTCAGGCCCGTGATGACGTTGATCGTGCCGTGGGGGACATCCTGAGGCAGGCAGCACATGAACTCGGCCAAGTCGCTGTTGCAGCACGGGTTGGACAGCCACAGGGGGTTACTATTACAAGTGGGGGGGGGTCATCAGTTTGAGATATGTGGAAGGGGTTGCCCCTACATGGTCGAGTTGAAGACGCGTTTGACACCGCAGTAGTTGGGTACGTTTTTCATCATTTTGGGCTTGGTGCCCGTCGTCACGACCCCCCAAAACAAGCTCACAGTGTCACTGAACACTTCACTAGATGCGGCCATCGCCACCTGCAAAGCCGCTTGCGTCGTCTCGTCAGGAGACGCAGTGTCGCTGAGATGCTGAATGTCCGCGACGATGTTGCTGGATGTGGCGCGGATCGCTGGCCCAGTCAATGCCACTGGCTTGGGCGATATGGGGACGAGTTTGCATTTGCTGACGGTGTACGGGCATGTTGTATCCGAGCACGAGTTCTAGAAATCAGCAAATTGCCGTTCATTATTAAAAAACAGTACATCGTAGTCATTGTTGTGACAATAGAACGTACGTCGAATAGTTGGTCTTGGATGTGGATCCGCACCCCCCCCGTTTTGATGGCATCTTCCACGACCAAGCAAGTTTGCTATATTTCAATATTGAAGCATATTTGAACATATAGTTGTTTGTAGTCTCGTACAGAAGATCCAGCAGGCGAACATGACACGGCGGGTACATCCGTGACCACCCCCTCGCTGTCTTTGTAAGATTGTCCAACGACGTAAGCGAATTGCAGCACTCCGTCCAACGGTACAGCCGAATCGACAATCAAATCGTCTGGTGCAATGGTGGCAAAATCCGAGATGGACGGGTCGTCGTTGTTGATGGCCAAATATTTCAATCGCATTCTACGCACAAACACAAGTAAAAGATCGGGCGATTCCTATGCAAAGACACAGCTCATTGACGTACAACGTGGCTTTCAAAGCCCATTGCAGGGGGTTCCGGGAAGGAGGTAAGGTCACAAGAGACTCGGTAAAATTGCGTGATCTGCAGTCGTCCGGGGCGTCAATCGAACCGTCTTGAGTCACCACGAGGCGTCCAAGTTGGTTTGGCAGGGACACCGGGCCTCCATTCTACATGGAAAAATACACATGAACAATGGCATGGAGGCAATGCAAATGCGCTACCACTATAAGGTCCGAATCGACGAACGGGAAAAAATCGCTCAGTTGCAAGTCTCGCAGCGAGTACTACAACAAACATGAGGGTAAACAACGAGGAATGGGGGAGGGGGTGTTAGCACAACGTACGAGTCCACTGGTGTGGTTGTCATACAGGGCGCCCAACGCGATGGAAGATTCAGTGGACAACTGCGCCTTTGTGGACGGCGACATTGCGTCCACAGGATTCGTAAAGTGATATTGTGGCGTTGGGCTCGCACGAGCGCCCATGGGGTCGGCAAATCGACAGGTGAAAATGGCAAACTAAACGTCATCAATGAATGTTAACTGGTTGAATTCACTTCAAGATTTCAGAGTTGTACCTTGAGCGAGTTCAGTTGGGGTAGATTCACTGCAACTACTTTGATCGAGTAGTCACATGCGTTGGTCACAGTTGGGATATTAAAACCGAGGGTCTGGTTCACATATTTGTCACAGCCAGGGTCTCGAAGGGTAGCTAAAATCAATCCACGTCAGTGAAAATTGGTGAAACCTGGCTTGTGGTTACCATTCGCAGCAATGGCAGCGCAGTAGATGGCCGCATAATTGTCCGAAGCCAAGGCTTGGCTTGCATTCAACGACAATGGACTGAATGCGGTGGCACTGCAAGGCGTTGTCATGTTCTTGATCAGATTGTAGCAAAACGGACACATGGACGCAGGGTTGACACCGTCAACTTTGTATCCTGTTGCGTGGATGCACCGCTTGCACGGCGTGCCTTGCTGGTAGCATTCCCAACGAGGGGCCGTGCGACAGGTGGCGTCACATCCCCCCGACGCTGTGAGATTGCCTTCGTCGCACGACTCCATCCATGACACGAACCCATCGCCACAAGTACTCAGATCATTTTGACACCCCTACGTAAAAGTCAAGTCATCATCAGTGTCAGTGCCTCGTAACATCCCATTCAACTTACAGTTTGCCAAGGGTTGGCGTTGCAAAAGGCAA